AGCAAGTAACAAGAAACGAGAAGGGGACGGAATGGAAGGAAGCAAGGGTCCTAGCCCCAACACCCCGGTGCTGTCTCCTTGCTTATGCATGGAAATGCACAAGTCCAGTGGTGGTGTTTGGAAAAGTGGGACAAGGGTGCAGCATAAACCTTGCATAATCTCGCTCGGTGCCACGTCAAAGCTGGCGCGCTACTGTATGTGGCGTGGCTACCTCTCGAGGCGATCCGTTCTTCTAGCCCGTCGATAGAACTGGGCTTTTCCCAGTACCTGTGAAGTATCCCAGGCTCGAGTTGGCTTTCCACCTTCAATCCAATCCCTGCACCGAATACATCATCGAGTCCCCGAGGAGCTCAAGCAAGGCCGGCCAGCGATAGCAATGACGAGCCCTGAGTCCGCTTGGCCCAAGGCAAATGGAGCTGGCCAAGCTATCAGTTGGACAGCAATAAGCAGTTGCTTGGCGTTAGAGGGCTTTGTACCGCCTGTTCCGACGTTTTGCTTTTACCCAGCGCCCGGGTCGGATGCCCATGTTCATTAGGGCCCAGCACTCAGCTCCCATCCCCAGGCACTAACTCAGGAACACGGCAGGATTCGGCGCCATCCCCTTCCGTCCGGTCCCTGCCTGGTGCGCGCTGGGCTTGGCCGCACAGCAACAGGCGGGAGAGGTACCTGATCGGCACAAAAAGGCCATGAGACGGAATCACTGGGCGGGACGATGGCCCAAGAGTCGATCAAGTTCGACAATCGGGGGCGGAGCTGGCGATTTCAATTGGACTTCATCTCTTCTTCCACAAGTGTGCTTCGGCTGATTGCTTCTCGTCTCTCGTAGATGCCTGGGACAGTCCGCACTTTCCCCCGAGGGCCGTGTCTCTTGTCTGTATGGAAGATGTCTTGGCGGGTGACTCGATTGCAATGCACTGTGTGAGCAGAATGCCACCCACGATGGTGCTCAACGGACATGGCTGACGCCGCCCGCCCATGATGAAACGACACCAGAGCCTGCCGCAAAAGAAAGAGGAGGGAAAAGGGGGCGTGCTCAGACGCCAACCGCACGCTTCTAGCTTCAATCTCCATTGAGACCTTTGCCGATTCGACGCCCCCAACTTGTTCACGGCGCGCTCTGAGACTTGGATGAATCCTCCGTCATCACTCGGCCGGTCCGACGTGACTCGTACGTGACCCACGCCACACAAACTGCACTGGAATGTTGCTTCAATTTTTAATCGAGCCGTCCGAGGCCACTCTGATGACACTGGTCCACAATGAACCCTCTGTCGTGTTGCAGCACTCTCGCAAGAGAAGAGCAAAATCCTGGTGGAGGCGAGCCAGCCGGGGAACCATGGGTACCAACCGAACTGGTGGACGCAACTGCCCGAGATCAGATGGACTGGATCGATCCTGTTGACGGCCCTTGGAGCCCCGTTTGCCGACCGCACACCACGGAAGAAACACTGGGGGGCGCATGCAAGTTCCCGCAGTCAGTAGCATCACTGGGACGAGTCAGCGTGCTGGGAGATGGGAGCCTTGTCCACCTAGGTATCTTACCTTGGGGGCCAGATCCAGGGTGCATCAGGGGGTTTCCTTCGTGCCAGTGTGGCAACGCAACCATCGCAACCTGTCCCCTTCCTTTCCCTGTGTCTTCCAATGCCAAGCAGCCTCTTTTGCCTCCCGCCTCTACTAGCTGCTACATATACTATTCCTCGTGTTCCGAAGCGATGAGCCCGGTCGGACGCCTCCATCCTACAGCACTCGAGACGAATCTCGACACCATTGCTAATGGACGCGCGATACCCCTAATGTCCATCACGCCCGAGACGGCCCCAGAGGCACCGCGCTATCGCGCACCGGATCGTCCCCGACTTGTCCTGCTGGAATGACAACCATGGGTCTGTGGGACTCACTTGTTCAGACTATGCTGACCAAGGTTGGCGCACAGGGGCAAATGGGCACCGGCTGCGGGCTCGAGCCGCCCTCCCGTTCTTCTTCACCCCACCTGGCGCACCGCTGATCTCAAACACGCTCTTGTTGCTCACCCCAGCTCCCCAATGGGAAAGGGAGCTTCCGCAGCTTGCCAGACGTTTCATGGAAACCAGGCTCAATGGCCTCTGCTCCGTAACCCCTCGTTGACACCGTCCACGGCCCCGCCAACAGGGACCCTCTGTCAGAAAGTCTCGACGCATCCATGTCGGAAAGCATGAATTGCGATATTACTAGCGCGGCTGGAGCAAATAGCTGTCGAACAATAGCGTGAGGCCAAGTCCCACCAAAGTCACGACCCAATCGTAAGGTTCTAGAATTCAGGGTCCTTTCGACGGTCATCGCCGTCTGATCCCGCGGCATGGCTGAATATCAGCTGGGGCCTTCATTCGCAACCCACGTCGTGGTGTAGGAAATGGCACCTCAGTTCTTCCGCAGGCTGATCCGGGGCAGCTGGATAGTGGGAACAAGCGTGAGCAAGGTTTTACAGCCCTCTAGCTCATGGACGCAGGCTGGGAGGTCGCGAGAGCTGCGTCTTGGCGTGGACGTTGCTGCCTCCTCACGTGCGACCTGCAAGGAGTTCTCCGAACTCGGGCCTTGATGATCTTCGTCATGTGATGTTGTCTTGTCCGTGTCGGTCGAACTGTGAGAATCGCCATTCGTTCACTTGGTTTGTCTCGGTGAATTGGGCGGGCAGTGTCCAGCTTTGGTGTGTCGAGCGAACGAGGTGTCTATCGAAGTGTGTGCATCACTGCCTTATGTCGCACTGGCAATCCGACCAACCAACCTTCGTTACGAGGTATCCCTGTGCGCTGATGTCCCGTTCCGCAAAGTGTCTGCTGTTTGATACCTCTCGATTATAATAATGTAAAGGCGTGACTATGTTTCGGGACTCGCAAGAGCACGTCTTTACAGGCACGAAAGTCTTGCTCAATGGTTTTCACATCATGACGCAGGAGTCAGTGTTATGCAGAGACCGCCCATAACATCTTGTTGGGTGGCAGATCTACCGATTACATAGAGAGCTCAGGTTCGATCACTTAGCGGCTCCGGCGGCCCGGTCGAGCGCGATCAATATTGCCATGTTACTGTTGGTGATACTTCCACTATACTGTTCGGATGCACATGTCAGCTTCGTGACTGTGTGAAACCGAAGCGAGGCCGAATGGGTGAAACGACAGGCGTGCTCTTAGCACACATTCCACACTTCAACAGAGTGGACTACGGCACTTGCAGCGGTGAGTGAATGCAATGTCACCGGTGAGTTTTAGTGGTTTGGATCCTGACACATCATATTGTGACTTCCGGTGCCGTTTTAGCACCATGCTCGCATGTCTACGTTGCTCTCGGTGAGCCATCTCAAGTCAAATGTCATGTTTTTGCCCTCGAAGAACTTCAATACTTGGCCAACATGTGTTACCAACGCTGGATCTATCTGTCTTGAGCGACAGCAGGTGATTTATATTGTGGCAAAGTGTAAGTTCATTAGGGGTATGTCCTCAGCGCTGACAACATCGATTGAATCATTATATATCCTATACGTCGGTCGAACATGTGATTCAAAAGACCGCGAAGACTATAATCTATTTCAAATGTCGATCTCTCAGCGTGGCTTTCCATGAAACCTCGTAACAATCCCTGATGCCCACAGATGTTGGTGAGAGATCAAGGGAACAGCGAAGCTATACGCTACCGTATCAACCGATAGTAATCGGTCTTTGAAATATGATTTTGTGTTGCTTTTCGTACCTTTCCTACCTTGCCCTGAGTTTTTTGCGCATGGGTTATTCGTGGAGAATATTTCTTTCTGAAATTCTTTCTGAACAATGTGAACGATCCAAGACTCTGTATATCATTTATAAGACGCAGGCCAATGAGTAACTAGGCGGACAGGCGGGAAGGTACGTTTCTATGCATGTGTTCCTGCCCTGGGTGCCCAGTACATTCATTGCCTTCATCAGAATCAGGTGAGGCAGTTCCTTCCTCCTGCGGTCTTCTTACCCAGCATTGACTGCTGTTATTCGAACCCATGATTCACCCGCCTGTCAATGCAACGACCCGGTGCCTACATTATCCGATCCCACACGAATGCTTAACGGACACCGCACACCTTCAATTTGTTGTTTCCAAAGACCATCGGATCTCATTCTGGTCTCGCGCATCACCGATAACCTCGGACTACCGAGTCCTGGCCAAAACATCTCGCAGGCCTGCTACTTCTTTCCCAGACCAAGGCACTGGCCTCCCTGGACGACGTGGGCAAGATGTCAAACGCCAACAACTCTCCGAGTGGCCGGTACGCATCTCATCGTTGCGATCAAGGAACACTTCTCGACATGTTCTGATGAGTTCATAGGTTCCCGGGAAACGGAAGCAATCTTGACCAGATGCAGAGGTCCGGTCCCAGGTCGTGAGTATTCCTTAGACGGAGATTGTGTGCGTACATCTGCTAACCAACAACTTGTATTGCAGGTTTCGCTGTGATGTCGGCGGAGAATGGAAACCTCTCGATGGCTTTTCGAAGAGATTCCAGAAAATGTCTGTAAAGCCTAGATTCGATCCCGCCAGGAGCGGCATGATCTGCCGTGTCCATAGCGGGGAGCCTGCTCTCGAAGCCAAATGCAGTGGACCATGCGGCCGAGTTCTCCCATTGAATTCGTTTTCCAAATCTAGTCGCTCCAAGGGGGTTCACGTAAGTCTAGTCTCGTTCTCGATGTCCATGAATCTCTCCAGCTTACATGGGATATTTTTGCATAGCTCTGTATCCAGTGCCAAAGCTGGATTAGCACCCAAGATGCTGAGAACGGCAGAACCCCCATTGCTGCCCCATCTCATGAACGAGATTTCGACGAACAAATCAAGGGCATTCACTTGCCTCTGGTCCCAGATCTCCATGCCAAGTATCTAGGCCTTGACGAAGACGACGATTACGTTGAAGAGGTAAGCGAGCATGCGCTTTGGACCGTACTCATAATCTAACAATCGCCTCAGCTCACCGGTCCTATAAGTGGCATGGCAGCCAATTCTTTCCGTTACGGACTATCGGAAGTGTCCTCATGCCTGGAAGACACGGCATCTGCCGCGGCAACCACTGCCAACATGTCGTCGCTCGAGTGTACGGACCGGCTAGCACCCCCCCACCTGTCGAGCGGTCGAGTATACGGTGGCTCTCCCAGTGATGGTAAAGGAATCTCTGCAGCAACAAGTGACTGGGTGCCTCCGCATCTGCGAGGTGCCCGGCCACTTTCGCCAAAGTTGGAAGATGCTCCTGCCTCGCCTGGCGCAGTTCATGACGTCTCAAACACCCGTGACCAGTGGGCTCAAGGTGTGAAGGCCAGAGATCAAGTTAGCAGTCTCATTGCCTTCTCGGAAATGGGGCTGTCTAGACGTCGAAATCTGACCGCACGTCAGGAGAATTGTCCCTCGGACCAGTCAACAGCCTACTCTTCCAACGAGTATTACAAGTCCAAGAGAGACCCGAAGAACACCCAGTCCCCGGCTCAGCTCGGCCGTATGCTTCGCTCTGAAACTTCCATGGGACCTTACCAACATAGAACCTCTTCGCCAAGGACTTTCGGGCAGATATCCCGCCGAGAGAAATGGGGAAAGGCAAGTGAGAGTAGACTGAAGGCTTCGGACCTACAGAGTATTTCGACAGCGACAACATTCAGGCAGGAGCAGGCGAACCAGCCGATGTACAATGCCTGGGACCATACCGGAGCTCGCCACACGCGGCCCAGACCCCCTCCTTCCACAATTGATGGAACGGACTCGGTTTTCGAGGCCGTCGCAGCTCAAGAGTGCCCAACCCCGTTCGTGGGTGGGTTTGCGAGGGGATTTGTGAGTTTGTCACCATGGCCTTTTCCTCCTTGTGCTAACCAGATGTAGGCTGCGCAAAGAGACTTGAAGGGTCAAGATGATTCTGATGACGATCTTCAGAATGCCTTGCGCACAATGAAACTTTCAGAGCAGAAGATCGTCTACAATTTTGACTGCGAGCACTCGGACGATGAAGATGCCATGTGATTTGGGATTCGAGAGCTGAAGGGAGCACGGCACATTATATGAGGCTCAGACGGTGGCGAGTAAAGATATGGCAGTTCAATGCCGAAAATCGCCAGGCATGAGTGATTCTGACTGCGAAGCCCTACAGCCTCGAGTAATTTGCTAGCTATGAAGAACGAAGACTGATCGTACCTGGAGTGGAAGGGGAAATTGACACGGGCGGTTATTGAAGGCAAAGCAAAACATCTTCGATTGCACACGACAGCAGCATTGGCAATGTGAAACAAATGACTTGAATTGCAAAAACGCCCCACTCCATGAACGAACATCGTCGTGACGATGCTCGAGAACCCCGTACAGCAACTTCCGACGGCGCGTTGTCCTCTCCCACCTATCCTGTTCTTTTCTGTTGCCAATGACATCGCCGTGGCAGCCATCAGCGATCGGCCTTTCAGCTCCGGTCGTCCGGAGCGTTTCCATGCTCAACATTGGAGTATTGGCAGCCAATCAGGCCACCTTCAAATCTCCTCCTTTAACCCTCGAGCCGCGAGGTTCTGTTCAGTGTAAAAGTAGTCGTACGCGCTCCCCCTTCCCCCCGCCCGTAATAATCGGCAGTGTTGCTGCTTCTCTCCTCCCCCGTTCGCCCCCCATGCCCCTGAGCCCCCCCCCTGTTGTGTTGCACTATTTATGGTATAAAAGTGACATGACGTTTTCATGATGTAATATAACCCCGGTGAAGGGATGTTAGCTGTCGCCCTCGTTCCCCCGCGCGCGCCGCCGCCGCCGGCCCCAAACCAGCCCCATGTAACCGTATGCGAGGGTTCTATCATGACCCTGAGATAAAGAAGGAGACGCAATTAATTTTCTTTGGCACCCGGATTTTTTTTTTTAAAAAGGGAACAAGCCCCGGATTCACCGCGCCAGACCGAAACGAGCAAGGCATTATTGGTACAGCGTACGGGATGATCGCTGCCGTCATGTCTCCGCTCCCTTTCTTTGCCAATCTAGGCGAGAGTGACCCTAGGGGGAAGGGGTAGGGGAGCTTTACAGCTCCGAGGCGTCGCTTCTGAAGTATCCAAAGTCGCCGCTGCTGGTGGAGGCGTCGCTGTGGCGGTTGAGCAGGTCCTGGGCGTCGCCGACCTGGCGGCGCTCGGTGATCTCAAGGTCCTTGAGCCTCTTGTGGATGCGGTACCGGGCGAGCAGCGGCAGCGTCAATCCTCGGGAGGCGGCGGAGGGGCGGCCATCCCTCATGACTGCTGATTGCTATTGGAGGGGCTCCGAGGAGGAAGAGAGGCGGTTCAGGTGGAGGTAGACGTCTGTGCCGTATCTGTGGGAGAGTCAGCTCACAGGCCTGATGCAGAAAGGACGATAGAGGAACTGTCGGACGGAGAGGAGAGAAAGAAGAAGAGGAAAAAAAAGAAAACGTACCCCTCCATGCTGATCAGCTTAAGGTCACCACCAAAGTAGCGAGCGTAGAGACGCGATATGGGCAGGCCGTAGCCGAAACCGGCCATGGGGGCCTTGAAGTCGTTTTTATCAAAGTCCGGGTCAAGGTTGGGCGTGCTGTCAACCGTGGTGTACATGTAGGTCCAGACGAGGGGGATGGCGCTGCGAGGGATGCCGCCGCCTTCGTCGGTGATCTTGATGGTGATGTCCTCCTTGCCCTCGGCGACAATGACCTTTGTCACCGGGAATTCCTGCTTGTCCTGGCCGTGTGTCTCGACAACGGCACGCAGCGAGTTCTTGAGGGTCTCGAAGAGCATGTGTGAAAGATGTCCGGGGACATACATAAAGTTGATGTTGGGGTTGCAAACGAGCTGAATCTTAGGGGCTTCGAAGAGGCCATAGTGATCCTCACAGACGAACCGGGCGTTCTCGATGGCTTCCTGCGCGAGATCCTGGATGTTGCATTTCGTGCAGATGATGCCGACGTAGGTGGGGTCGCGATAGTGGCTCTGGTCTGTCAGAGCAATATGCTGGCCGATGAGCATGCGGATACCAATTCGGGACATGTAGAAGCGATCTAGGAAAGACTGAATGTTGTGGTCGATTTGCATGCGCTGTCGCTTGCGCTTGTACTCGAGAATACCCTGGGCCATGGTCGTCACGACACCATCGTGACGCCTCTTGATGTTGTGCAGCGTCTTGGCGAACCTTTCGTTGTACAGGCGAAGCTCGGCGGGCCAGTTGCCCGAGTCGTCGACCATGGCAAAGTATCTCCTCGCGGCGGCGGACGCCTTCTTCCCGTTGCCATTCCCGTTGCCGTTGCCGTTGGAGTGTGAAATGGAGCTGTACTGGCCGTCTTCAATGCTGGGGTTTCTCGTTGTCTCGGAGAGCATGGCGGATGTCCTGCCAAACTTTTTGCCGGGCTTCATGAGCCGTTCTCGCACTTCTTTGCCGAGATCGGGTCGCGCGAGAGTTGTGAGCTCCTGAAGGAAGGGAGGAGGCAAGTTAGTTCCTGGTTTCTTCAGACATCTTCGGATCGGGCCAGCGCAGCATACCTCGAACGACTGCGCGTACCAGTCATGACCTTTCGGACGGATGGCATCTCGTTGAGGCCATCGGGAAGCTCGTCGAGTTCTTGCACACGATGGGCGAGGCGAATGGGAAGTTCCTCCGCTAGGAACTGCGAGGCGCGGAAGAGGGTACCTGCATGCGACGGAACAGCGATCAGCCATGGGCGACGGCTGAGAGGTGTTGTGGGTGGGGGAGGGGAGAGCTGCGACGCGCATGAGGCTCGGGGCAGACGCACCGGTAGAGGGCTTCTCGCCAAATTGAACCATCTGGCGCAAGCTGACGCCGGTAGCAGGAAAGCTGGCATAGTGCTTGATGGTGTTCATCAACCCCTCGGTCTTCTTCCACGACATGATGGGCGGTTCAGGGCTGGCCCAGCGAAATGCGAGAGTGGCGCGTGCTCATGAACTTTTCGGGTTTTGGCGGCGGCGGCGGCGGCGGCAGTGGTTGCGGCCCGCCAGGTGGGACGACGCGATCAATTGACGGCTCGAGTGGTGTCTGTGACGAATCTGACACAAGGCCTTGGTCGTCTGGAAAACGGCGGTGGTAATGTGGTGCGGTGCGAGGTGGTACGAGGCTTGGATGCTTGGTCGGGCTGACCCCGCGGTTCGGTCAAGAGGACGGGCGCCTTTACCGAGGCTTTATGACGCAGGACATGGAACGAGGCTCCGAGGCGCGTCACAGGCGGGCGGGCGGGCGAGGGCAAGACAAATGATGGAGAGAGTGGGGGATAAGAGATCAGCAACAGGACATCAAAACCAATTGGGAAAACCGGACACGAGTCGCACAATGTGAAGGAGAGAAGCAATGTTGATGATGGAGGAGCAGGTTGAAGTGCAGGAAAGACGGTCTGGAGGTCTGGAGGTCTGGAGGTCTGGTCCGGCTGGATGGTGACTATGACTGGGTTTAGGGTGGACTTTGTCTGGTGACCACCACAGCTGCAGGGCCTTGGGCTTTTGGCCTTGGGGGGGGATCTTGGGTGCGCCTGGCCCCATGTCATGCCCGAGAGAGTGGGGTTTTGCCCGGATGGAGAGGATAGGGGAGTGCCGAGCTTGGGGGTGCTGGTGGTGCTGGAGCGGGCTAGCTGCTGGCTGTTTGGCTGCGCTACCATTTCCTGCGCTGTGAGGTCAGGTCGGTCCACTATACTGGACCGAAGCCCCCTGCACATGCACCTTCCCAAGGTAGGTACCTACCTTACCTTACCTTAGGTAAGGTAGGTAGGTTGCAGAATAGACGTTGACGTGTGACGGCATGCGACCTTCGTTGTCGAGCGCATGCGGCGGTCAAACAAAAGGGAACAAGTACCCAGCCTCACTCCATGGGCCAGCCGGCGAGCCATTCTCCTTTGCCTGTCTACCTTGTCTCTATGGCTTATCGAGGCACCATACCCATTGAAGGGACATACGCGACGACCCTTCTGGTCAGTTCTCCTGCGCATGCCTGTTTGCAGGATGCAGATACAGATGGCACGCTCGCGCAAGTTTCGCCCGAGGGAGGGTACATCGACGTGAAGTTGGACCTTGGCCTCTGCCCTTGGGAACGAGCAACGCGCATCAGATACGGAACAACTCGGAGCACCACCAGGATGGTACTCTGGATGGAATCCTAATGCAGGCTGATGCCATCAGTTCGGAAAAGCCGAGGATCAGACAGCTAGTAGTAGCCAGCAGCCAGCCAAAAGGCGAGCAGGAGATGCAGAAAAAGGTACTTGAGCTCAGGCCGGACTGGGGAAGCACTGGAGAAGCACTAGCCACAGAGAGAGGGGCACCTGGGACCTGTCCATAATAACCAATGGGAAGCTCTCCATTGGCCGTGCATCACATGCAACTCTGCCACGACACAAGGCTCAAGAGTCACAGATACAATAGCAAGCAGTAGTAGCAGCAGAAGCACGCGCCACACTTTGCGCCCCAGCCTTCTGTTTCCTCTCCTTCCAGCCTCCCTCTCTCTCTCTCTCTGAGAATGTCACCCACCGCTCTTGTGAGGAAAAAAGCCTAGAACAACGACAACGACGGACGGGTATTTTCAAGCGACGGAAACCCTTCACATCACTCCACCGGGACATTTCGGATCCTACAAAGCAAAGAGCTGTTCCATACCCATCCAACACCCACTTCCCTCGGCTCCGCGTCCTGAAGCCGACGCCAACGCCAACGCCAACGTCTTAACCCCCCCAGATCCCATACCCAGCAAAAAGCGGGAACCACCAAGCAAATCCGAACGGTGCCGGGCGCCCTAGCACCTCCACGGCCGATGCGCCGTCCCATCCATCACCCCCTTCTCGGGCACACTCGGACATGTTGTCGGATACTACCATCTCCAACACGGGACTCGGGCTGGGCCTACGCTACCTCGACCTCAAAGAGGTTGATGACCACGACGACGTTCCGCTTGGTGTTCACGTCGTCGACGATGAGAATGATGAAGAGACGACGCTGGGCAACCCCCCTCGAAGAAAGGATGCCTCCACACCGCCACCTCACATCTCATCGCCTTCCATCCCTTCGCCCATGAGCCTGGGTCATCTCGGCATTGTGCCACTGACGCCACTGGGGAAACAGCTCGCCGCCTCGCTGGGCAGGACCCCAGAGACGCCACTGAGAGGTTCTGACAGGGATGCATCGAGTGATCACGGCAGCGGCCCACGTGGTCTTGCCGACGAGGAGCTCACTCAGGGATCCAAGGTGCAGCTCATCCAGCGCCTCACCGCACTCACCCAGAAGCTCGCCCAGGGCAGTGATGTTCCTGACCAGATCACCCTCGACCTCCTGCTTCGACGCGTGGACGAGATTGATCGTGTCGTGATGGCATCCTCCCAGCGCGCCCTTCCGACCGCATCTCATAGGCCGGCCCACT